CTCCCGTTAGAGAAAGCCGTCTCCATCTCCGGGCCAGAGTCTTCTCCAATTCGTCCTGAATCAGTGCCGCCGCCTTCATCACTCCGAGTCTGTCCGACGAAGAAATAGCAGCGCCATCTACCATTTTGCCCCTTCCGTCAATTTTCCGCTCAGGTTCCCTTAGCTTCCGTCAATTTTTCATCTATTAATTGCAATCCTTGTTTCTAAGTCTCGTTCTCTTGTTCCAAACAGGTGTATTTCTCATTTTTAGTTTGATTTAACCATGAATTCTTATTTTGAAAGTCTATGTGGTCTCATCTGTGTAGTTTTGAGATATCTCTGTACTTCAATTTTTTTTTGTTTTTGTAAAAAAACAAAGCTTATTGATCAACGGAACTAAGTATCCATGGGTTTTGCCACTACCAGTCTCGGCAGCAACCACCACATCAGCGCCAGACAGTATATTTGATATGCAAGCAGCCTGTAGTCAGTTTCAAGAGATGAAATGCTTATTTTAACAAAAGATGAGATTTTTAAGGCAATAAAATGGTGTCAAAGTACAAAACAGGTAGGATATAGTTTGAACTGAACATAGAATTGGAACTCTAATAGTTGGTGATAGCCACAAGTCTGCAACTACACAATTGGTTTCATAAACCAAAACTATCCTTAGAAATTTCCCCTTTCCCTAGCATTTTCCGGGATATAAACATTCCCTAAGTAGCTCAGTATAAACAATATCTGATATAATAGCATTGTCCAAATAAAAGATTGCTTCAGTCAATCTCATTTTGAAGCTGCAGTTGGTGATTGCATTGTCTTCATTCATTGATGGATTTCAAAATAATGATATTAGTCAACTAATAAAAACAATCTCTCTTTAAAATGCCACATACAGGCTAGACAAGTTTAATGCTCAGTTTAAAGAGGGTAAATAAACATGTTTATTTATCTTATGTACCTGAACAAGTAAGTTTAACATAGAATATTAGCCTTAAGCCATAATGTGTTAATTAGATAAATTAACATGATCACATGTTACAAAAGAAAGTGAACAATAGTTAAAGGGAAAATCCTTGCGAACTGCATCTTTAAGATGACACAGCTGAAGCTGTCTTGGCATAGCAGGTTGTTGGTGGGCTTCCGAAGATTTAATATCTTTTCAAAATTAGTGTTTCTCACACCATAGCTTAAATCTATTTACTTTACCCAAACTTTTCTAGTGAAGATGTAGCATGGCCACATTATCGCACCTTCATACACCAGTTTGATTATTCAGGCTTCGTTTGGTAGCCGTAGGCGTCTTACTCTTCTTGTGTAAGGGGGTCGCATGTACAAGTGAAATAAGCACATTTTGACTTGCAGACATGATTATAAGCAGGTTAGGAGTCTGCCATTGAGTGATTCTGCCATTATGGGGTCTTACTCTTCTTGTATAAGGGGGTCTGCTTGTACAAGTAGATTAAGCACATATTAACCTGCAGACATGATTATAAGCAGGTTAGGAGTCTGCCATTATAAGGGTCTGCTTGTTACATGTTTTGTTACCATAAAAGTAATTGGTACAATAATCCTTCTACCTCTTCCTTAGTATTTCCCATGGTTTTAAGACATACAGTAATAAATGACAAGTTTATGCTCTACTATTTACTGTGTCTCACTTATTTAGACATTGTTCCTTTTGCATTGCATTTATACAGCTCTTTTTATCAAGTATTTTAATGTGACTGCGCTCATCTATCTGTATTTACATTTGCTTCAATTCCATTAATTTAAAAATGTCAAATTTTCAATTCATGATTTTTAATGGGATTTTGTGCTTGAAATGTATTTCACTTCTCTAACCATGCATTTAGAATTTGGATGACTTGTATTTCGCCTATTTGTTAATTTACGAAGCCTTGGGTTAGACTAACTAAATCATTGGATTCAATCTTTGTTAACGGGCCATATACATTATGGCACGGCTGTGTGAGGCCGACCCAAAAAGGAATTCTGTCCAAATTGGAAGTACCAACGGTGGCTAAAACCAACACTTGACACGGTTCACTACCAGTGACCTTAAGAGCGAAAAACCGAGTAGAGTCCCACAAAACGTAGGACTAGGGGCCGTAAGTCTGTAAAACAAAACACACTTGCTCCGGTTCCAAACATTCACACTAGTATGTGACTGTGGTGTTCATTGATTAGAAGGGCAATTAGTGACTTTTGATTGTTTTCCCTTTCCCTTTGAACAGGACGGTGTCAATGAAGTGCTGCTGGAATGCTGATTAAGAGCTTCTACAATTGTTATCAAGTGTCTTTACAAGTATGACTTTAATAAAAAGTGTTTTGGTTTTGAATAGTCTGTCGGTTATCTTTTTGTTAATATTAGGACTGTCACCCCTAAACAAAGTCTGTGCATTCATTCTGTATTTGAGTCTTCACAATTAACCACACAAAGTATTAACTATACATATTTATTCCATCTTAGGGATTGTTTGCTTTATTTTATGTTAAAGAATCTCATAATAAAGAATATTATTATTTTTAACATAATTTTTTCTAGTTTTAAAAAGGAGCAGTTGGAAGAAAATGTGTTACTCCGTAGTGTTTTACTACTCTGAGTATTTGTTTTGGTTTTTAGCTGTAAAAGATGTCATACAAGTTGAATTTGTTAAGTTTAGTTCACTTATAATCCGTAATACTCCTATAATTGTACTCCGTATATTCTTATATTTGGTGGTTTCCACTTAAAACAAATGTAATAATAATAGTAATGCAGTATTATTATGCGTTTGACCTATAAAATCCCAGTGAAATGATTGGTTTTAAGACGGCCCCTCTCAAACCCGTCGGACGATTATTGAGATAAGGTAAATTGAACTCGATCGCAGATTGGTAATAAATAGTGGAGCATACACTTGATACTTGCAGAGATTATACGCTTGGTATAATTTTCTCCCAATGTAGTTGATAGAAATCAAACTTTATTTTATCAATTTATTAACGAAAATATGAAAAATAAATGAAGAAAGTTTGATCATATGAATATTAAGCATGCAATTTAATTTGAGATGGAAGGAAGTCCAAAAAATAAAGTTTTAAAGTTTTTGTATAAAATTCTTACAAATTGATAAAGATAAATACATTGTTGGAACGATGCCTAACAGTTTCAAAATATTTTAATAAATATCCTCTTATTATTTTGGTTAAACTCCGCCATTGGTCTTTCAACTGTATCAATTGTGCACGATTGGTCCTTCAAGTTTCAAAAGTCTTTAAATAGTCCTTCAACTTTATGAGTTATGCATGATTGGTCCTTCAATTTTAAAAGTGCATAAATAGTCCTTCAAGTACACGTAAGCCCTCCACATGAGGTTCTTTTGACAGTAAATGTTAAAAGCTAAATGGAATACTAGCTCTATATAATACGGAGTAGACGTATCTAGTGGAATTTATTCGTATTATATGAAACTAGTATTTTGTTTAACTTTTAATATTTACTATCAAAAGGACCTCATATAGAGGGCTAGCGTATACCTGAAGGACTACTTATGGACTTTTGAAACTTGAAGGACCAATACTGCAGAACTCATAAAGTTGAAGGACTATTTATGGACTTTTGAAACTTGAAAGACCAATCGTGCACAACTGATAAAGTTGAAGGACCAATGGTAGATTTTAGCCTATTATTTTTAAGAGTAAATTCCATAATTGGTCCTTTATAACAGGGGGTTTCCATATTTAGTCCTCTATTATCAAATATTACCCCCGTAGTCTTTTTTTAAAGGGTACCTTTCCACAAATGGTCCTTTTTTTGATCTTCTGCCGTGTTGGTGTTAATTTAAAGGCTAAAAGTATAATTTAACGTCAACATTATGTCTAGTGACGTGTTCTGACATTGGTTAAGCGGATAACACAAAAATAATGACTATGATTGTGGGCTAGGATGCTGACAAAAGATCTCATTTGTAGACTATAGTTGTCGTAAAAAGCTACTGTAATTCACAAACGACGCAAACAGAACAGCCTTTGGAATTGTGTGTGACAAAAATGATATATCATCATTGTGAAATTACACTTTTAGCCCTCAAATTAACACCAACATGATAGAAGATCAAAAAAAGGACTATTTGTGGAAAGGTACCCATAAAAGAAGGACCACTTGGATAATATTTGATAATAGAGGACTAAATAGGGAAACCCCCCTGTTATAAAGGACCAATTATAGAATTTATTCTATTTTTAAAATTAAAAAGATTAAACGTTTTGAGACATCTCAAAAGAAATAAAGACTTTTGTGGACACCGTAAAAACTCATCACCCCATCCACTCAATGGCTACAGTTTATCTTTTATATTGGATTATTTTTGTATCTCATTCTTTTTTTTATTCTTTTTCTATTCTTTTATTTTTTATTCCACATTTTCTTGAATGTCCCAATAATATTTTTTTTGTTTTATTTCAGAAATAAAAAAATGGTTTATTTGAGGCAAATAGAATATAAATTATATTTTTATTCTCTCATATTTTAAGATATAATGCTAACATAAAGACAAAATATTTGTATATTTTTTATCCTTTATATACTATCTATTATATTTGTACTAGATTAAATATTTGTATATTTATGTTCAAACGATGTCATTTAAGATATTCTTTTATGATTCTTGACATTGTTTGTAAATGAACAAATAAATTGTCACATAATTTGTTGAAACACGGGCATGTCACGTTTTCGTATTAAAGCCGTGTTTGTTTTTATGACAGGTTTTGATAATGCCAAACCGCCGTGATCAAGTCAAACTTTGAATATACAAGGCGAAGAAGGAAGACAAGAACAAGAGCTAAAAGAAGACCAAGAACGAAGACCTTAGTCTTAGTGTCGTGAGTCGGTCTTCATTGTGATCAAGACCGACCCAATCTTTACACCTTGGCTCTTTAGGCTAAAAACCTTCATTGCACTTCTTAAATCATAAAAATGTTTTTCAAACATGTTTAAGTCATTAAAAACACTTGGTGTTCGCCCAAACCAAAAACCAAGCCATCCGGCGTTCGGGTTTCAGAAACCGGCGTTCGGCTCTCGGTTATCGGCTATGGTTTTTGGCGTCCGAACCAACCAAGTGGTTTTCAACTTTTTATGATTGGTTTTTACTCTTTGGCATGTTTAAACGGTTCTCCAACAAAAACACCTTGAAAACCATCTTTCGCTTTTGGTCGTTTGACAAAAATCATTCAAAACGGCATAAACTTGGCTAGCCGTGGTTTTCACTCAAATGACGTGGTTTTTAAAGTGTCTTACTTGATTTATTAGCCAAATACATCAAATAAGGGTTTTAAACACTTGGTTT